GGCTATAAAGTAAGAGTTATTGATTAAATTATAAGAAAACGCTTCTAAAAACACAAAATGATTTAATGTATTACAGTTTTTTTTTGTATTCAGTACGCGTAACCATTCTCATTTACTATATCTATATTTATAGGTAGTTTTACTGGGACAAATCGTTGATTTTTTTAAATTTGGAGTAAGTATGTTTTGTATACACGAATGCGGTGGATGCAGAAAAATATTACAACTTAGGAATATGATATAGATAGATGACCTACTTAGACACCAATAATATAAAGCAACAATTCTATAACAAATATATTCAATTAATACAAATAATAAAAATTGCTATTTTGATAATTATAATTATGTCGACAAAGAAAAATGCACTCGCTCTGCTTATCTAACTACGGAGTTTTTGTGGCCGTACCGTCGAACAAATTTGGCCACTTGTCCCAATCATAATGTAGCGACACAAATCACTATTAAAGGAATATAATTTATTTAATATCCACTTGCAATTGGATTGTGTAGTGAGGGCCAAACTATCGATAACCAAATAATATTAAATTTCTGTTTTTCAATAATTCTTTTGTAAAAGAAACCACTCGTTCTAAATACCTAAGTATATAACAAATGAAAATAATAAATATACCTAATATAACATATGAAAATTTTTACACGTGAATTCTTAAACAAAACTGTACACCTTCGCAAATAAAATGAATTCGGGAAAAGCCTAGGTCATTTAAGCTAAAATAATCTAAACTAGTGGTGTCTTCATTAGTCTTAGAATACTTAAGTAGGGGTAAACCTAGCTAATTTGTCGTCTATTCAAGACCGACCTACTTGTTCAATGTCGTCACTTAAATTAAAATATTCTAATTCCGTGGAATCAAGATCGTTGTAGTGCCGTATAAAGTTAGCACAATGCCACTCCACTGAGATTTATAAGGTCAAAGACAAATAGAACTAGGAATAGATAAGTTAATTATGGGTACACATTATTACGAGAATTAAGAAAAATATTCTTAAGTTACCTGTAATAAGAGTCACGCCATCATTTCTGTTGTCTTTTGAAGAGGAGATTCGAAATGTACACACATTTATAAATGAAGACTATAGTAAACTAAGCCATAAGTCGTTGTGGTCTGGAGGTTAAAGCGCCCGTTTCTCATGCACCTAGTATTTAGTTCAAACCCTGCCAAGAGCCTGTGAGATGTGAGTTTTTCCCAGTTATACATATGCACATTCTACGATTATTTAGACACCACTGACATACGGTGAAGAGAAACATCGTGAGGAAATCTGGACTTTTAATTTCTAATTTATAAATAGTGATTAATGTTCAAACCTTCTACGTGTGAGATGAGGCATTTGCTCAGCAATGGGCATTTATAACCTGATGATGTGAAACTAAGCCATATAAATTTCGATATACTTTATTATACTATGATTTTGACTGTACTGTGACTTCAATACGATTCGTTCGAGTGACGAATCTAAGCGGATACACATTTGTAGTTTACCTAGCATTAATTTGACCAACATGCCATTCAGATTAAGTTACAAATGCTACAACAGTGATACCTACATCAGTCTATCGTACAGTTACCCGCCGCATTTTTGATGCGGTCCGGAGTTTCTTTCAAATTCATGGATTTTTTGATATATGACATGCGCGCCCGGTCACGAATATTGTACTGACCTTTCGATGTCATCATACCCTGACCTATTTGAAAAAACAATTCCTACGACATTCGTAAAATAGTGCCAAAGGTTAATAATACAATTCATTTCATAGCGATCGCAATAGATTTCTTCAATCATTTTTAGTATCTGTTGAATTTTAAAAGAGATTTTCCTTGAGCCTGTTTTTGTAAAAAAATGCTACATAGATTAACATGTTTGAGATCTTATCATGTTTGCGGATTGCAACTATATTCAAGATGTATTTCTTGCAAATACTATCTTCTTACTTGCGCGGATCCTACAAATTTGGGACGCCGAAGAGGCGTTCTCTTTTCAAAACGCAATCCATCATCATCATCACCCGCTGATTTCGTCCACTGCTGGACATAGAACTTCCCAATTGCACGCCACTGAGCTCGATATTCAGCTATTTTCATCCAACCACTGCCAGCCACCGTGCGGATACCGATATTCCACTAATATGAAAAGGCACTAAGTTATAAAAAAAATACAAATCACTCATTACAATCTTACACTAAAACACTAAGCGACTAAACTTCAAACCATCGATATCGATATAATAACCAAGTTATGAAGCGTATCGTCACTACACAATGACATACGTGTGTGTCCCCTGTTACATGCGTGTATCAAATATGAGGGGAAGCATACGCTAGAATTATAGCTGTGTGTTGCACCTGTGCATCTAACGTGGTCCAAGCTTAATTAACATTCTACAATTATGAATTTCAAATGAAGGGTGCCAAGAACTGAGGCTTATGGTAGATAATTTTATAGTCCTGGTAGTAATTTATTACCTATTTTAATAATATATAGTTGGAATTAATCTATGAAAACACATATCGATTTCAAATGTGTTAGCAAAATTTTATCCTTATTTAAAGGGGAGCAACATGCCTCTGATGCTTTTATAGCCGCGGGAGTCCATGGCCGCCGTTGATCACTTACCATGATTTAAAAAACGTACTTACCTCTATTTCTTTTAAAATATTCCCTGATATGAAACTTTGATTTGCTTTCGAATGGATATAGCCAATCAGACTGAAGAATTTATATACTCTTCATTAATTTTTTATTCACATATCATTTAATAACGTTAGTTAAGTACTACCGTATCGTGGAGGTTAAGGTGCCCGTTTCTCATGCATGAAAAGGAGAGGTCGGAACCTGGCAAGTACCAATATGAATTTGCCAAGTTATATGTACTTTCTAATTTTATTAAGATTTATGGTGAAGGAAAACATCACGAGAATGCCTGTAGATACTTATTACTTTCAAAAGCGAAAAAGTCAAAAATCATTTATTACAATTAAATCCTTACAGGCACTTTTGAACGTCAAACAAAATTTGTGAAGTAAGGAGGAAGAAAGTGTCAGTCTGCCAGTCAGTACTTTTATTGAAGCTATTTGCTCGGTCCAAAGTGTAGATTCCGATGGAGAAGAACGAGCAAGAAACTCCATGGTTACTCTTTTTGAATCATTTTCATATACAGATTCCTTATACAAACAGTTGGTTGGCTTTAATTATAATACGATTTTAAATCGCAAATTCTCCTTTAGCAAGCGTGCTTAATGCTCTAACATTCTTTGTTTGAAAAGTGGCCGTTGCTCAGCAGTTGGCATTTATAGGCAGATGATGTGGTGTAAGGAGTACTGAACAATCAACTCGTAATTGATCATATTTTGTGGACCGCTTCTTTTATAGATATTAATAACAACATTAAAACTAAATGGGAATTATCGACCTTATAATCACTATAAAAGTCTATTCAACATTACAAGTACTAAGAGGTACTTTAGGTCAGCAAATATTTTTGACTGACATCTGCACTTTTCAATGTCCTAAAACGTAGTCACAGAGGAACCTAATTCTTGTTCCCAGCTCCTATCTACTCGTAACTTTAGGACATTAGAGTAACTTACTAAGTTACCTAACTTAGTGGTACCTACCGTCTTCTAACTTTGTGGTCGCTATTAACTCAACTTAGTAATTAAGAGATCTGCACTTGAGAATTGGGTTCGGACAATGCATTTTCTTAAACTTGGTACATTTTTGAAGATTATGAAGGAGAGAGAAGATTGTGAAAGAAAGAGAGATAAGATTACATTGAAAATTTTCGTCGTAATACTTTTTGTTTTACGAGTTGTTCTGAGTTTGAAACGAGTGTATTAAATTCTTTGATTCGAAAATATTACCACACACATTTAAACATTCACAAATTACACACGAGATACAAAACTGAACCTAAAAACAATATAGATAAACAGCAAAATAACATAAAAAAACTAACCAAATACCAAAGTACCTAAGTCAAAGTGAATACAGTAAAAATACACACACACATACACATATCGTGCAAGAACATTGCAATAACGCGAGAAACGTTAATTGTGAGTTAGTGCGCCCCTGGGAGACACGGAGACATGAACTCCTGGACTTGGATATAGATAGTGCACTTTTTTCCTTACGTACGTACGTACCTACACACCGTTGCAAAACACGTGTAGGGGATTATTGATTAAGGCAACCGTCTTGGGGAATTCGAAGGTGTTGTCTGATAAAAAGAAATAAATTTACCAAAGGGGTATTTTTTTGTTAAAATACTACATCTTGAATGTGTGTAGTGTTGTTATCTTACCTCTCTCTACGTTCTTATACTAAGTGTATGTACTTGCGTGTTTACCTACTTAAGTTATAAGAAGTAATTTTTAAAATATTCCTTTGCTCAAATCGTTCGTAAGTTTCACTATGATACGTAATAATAGGTAACCTTTAACAAAATTCGGTTGTTTTGCCCCGTAGACAATGTATCATGAATTACTAATAAATCTTTAGCAACAACAGCCAATGAATAACATTTGATTAGCCGCCTAACAATAGAAGTTTCGTCATAAAAAATCAAAGCGTCCTACCCAACAAGGGATGCATCGAAATATTTATAGCGAGCGCATATGCGACGGCTACACGACAAACATTCATTTCGGCAACAATGCCGGTCAACAACTTAAGCATATTGGCTGAACACTCACTCCCAATCAACGTCACAACACTCGCCCCCATCTATAAAAAACAAGTGTTTGCTCTCATAAAGAATGAGTGCAAATCTGCACAATGATTGTTTATGTTTCCATATCGTCCCGAGTACCATTGTTGCGCCGAGCACCCTCCTTTTATTTACAATAAAACGTACGATTTAACATGAATGCAGAAGTTAATACGGCGGACGAGTATAATGGTGACGACGCCCCTCATAATCCTCTTAATCATTAAAATATTGACATGGAACTCACGACTGCTTCTGTCCACAGATGGGTCACCATGGCATGGAGGGGCTGGATATGCTCGATCCGCTCACATCTTCATCGATGACCACCTTAGCGCCGATGGGAGAAGCAGCGCCTCCTCACCACCAGCTGCACGGCTACGGAGCGATGAACCATGTTATGAACCACCACCACCACGCCGGAGGACTTGCGCACGCGCCGCCCGCCCACCTTGGCCACCCGGCGGCGGCGCTACATCCTGACACCGATACAGACCCCCGCGAACTTGAGGCCTTCGCTGAAAGATTTAAACAACGAAGAATTAAACTAGGTGTCACGCAAGCAGATGTCGGCAAAGCACTTGCAAACCTGAAACTTCCTGGCGTAGGAGCTCTGTCACAGAGCACAATCTGCCGCTTCGAGAGCCTTACACTAAGTCACAACAACATGATAGCTTTGAAACCAATCCTGCAAGCGTGGCTAGAAGAAGCAGAAGCGCAAGCCAAGAATAAAAGACGGGACCCCGATGCGCCGAGCGTGCTACCAGCTGGTGAAAAGAAACGTAAGAGAACTTCTATCGCCGCACCGGAGAAGAGAAGTCTGGAGGCTTATTTTGCGGTCCAGCCGCGGCCCTCCGGTGAGAAGATAACTGCTATTGCGGAGAAGCTGGACCTCAAGAAGAACGTAGTGAGAGTGTGGTTTTGCAACCAGCGGCAGAAACAAAAGCGGATGAAATTTGCAGCGCAGCACTGACCGGCGGGCGGCGGCGCGGCTCTGCTGTACCCGGGCCCCGGGTACGGTTACTGAGCACCGCCGCTCCGGCGCGCCCCGCCCCGGCACGCCCCGACAAACCCTCACACAGCAATAAGGATCTCATTCCGATCTCATTCTTAAACTCCCTTTGAGTCAAGCAACTTAGTCTTTAGTGTAGATATTTTACCATTTTTAAGTTTGTCTATACACGTTCCACGGATTCTTATATATTTTTCGAGACACAGGGTATATAATAATCGATTATATACATATCATTACAGTGAGTAGATGACGCTTCAGTCGTTCAGTTCGTGCGCGCCGTCTTTTCAATGTTTTCGGAGCATCGAATATGTACATGAATAAAAAAAATGAAATTCAGGATTTTTAAGAGAATGTGCCTTGCAAATAATCAATATTCTGTGTTTTAATATTAGTAACTTCATTGCTGCGAGTCGCAGAAGTCGCGCCAGACAGCCGGACGTCCGGAGTCCGGTCGCACGGGCGACGCGCTGCGCTCGGTCGGACGGTCGCTTGCGAGATGTGACCATCCTTTTAAATGTAGTGTTACGTATTCATTTCCCTGACTTTGCTCATTGTTTAGAAGTGATCGAGGTCTCGCAGGCGCTACCCGCCACCGCCCTGCGCGCAGTCTAATGTTTAAATATTTAATGATAAATTTGTTAGGCGTTTTGTTCTCATTATATTGACACTGTACAAAATAATTATAAGAAATTGTATTTTCAAGCCTAAGTTGTAGATAATATTCGGTAGGGTTTTGTACTATATTATGATAATTTGTTTTTACTTTCTGTTAATTTGTTCATTTTGTACGATTATGGACATTTTCACGAGATGGCACAATTTCTAGTTTAAGAGGTTATTAGTGACATTTAGCCAAAATAGTGTTAACAATTCATTTGTAAATAAATCACCTTTCGATTAACCTGTAGGAGTTAGTTTAATACACATAGTTACTAAACGGAAGGAATTAGTACAACGCGATTGGATTCATGCACGACGATACATAAATGTCTGATTGTCTGCGTTACTTCTAACTTTTGTAATGAACTAATTAGATAAATTAAGAGTTGGTATACAAGAGTCGCTCGATGCCAAAATTTTTATTTGAAACGTCAATGATTCTAAATTTAAATCGCGGCCAAACTATTGACGATTATATTGAAATTGAATAAAAACTCTTTTGTTACAAATTATGTTTGGTAAATGCATGGATCCAAAATGGTGTATTGCACCGCAGCTTAAGTAATAGAAAACCCGAAAAAAAAAACATAAAAATTTTGCGAATTATAAATAATATTTTTAAAAGATATTTTGTAAATATAGATTTAATAAAAAGACTTAAGTAATAATGAAACGTGCAATTTAGACCTCGGTAATTATATGAATAACTGCTAGGAATTTATGGTATCTACCACGGACAATGAAAGAACACGTATTTCTTTATATTAAACCTAACAATCTAGTCATAGTATTATTAAAGTTTAGTTATTTATTGTTTTAAAACTATTTATTTTTAATTATTTATTGATGTTAAATGTACAACATTTTTTTGATATTCCATTGTAAAAATACCAAGCTTTTAATTCTTAATGAAATTTGTACTTTAAATTATTTGAAAATATGGATTATTTTTGTTGAATATTGGAATTTTGAATGATGTACGATATCTTACGTCACTACTTGCACTACTACTTGAACTAAGATTTACGATTTGAAGTCGCAAAAATAACATTAACTGTAAATTACTTTTATACCTAGTAAGGGAATGAAGTTAGTTAGTTTGAACATAGAGATTTTTGGAATAATTATAAGGTAACATTTTATAAACGATTTAAATAATAATCCTTTGCAAATAGTGACGTAAACAAAGTACAAAAAAAAACGTATTTTTATTAATTATTTTTAATTTGTAAATAAAGAAAAATGAGAATAATATTATTAATAATAGAACCGAAAGTAACTATTATTACTATTAGTTCCGGTAACTAAGTCAGTAATAATTTAAGTAGACATTAGAAAAAGTTTCTCTTGCAATTATTAATTCTTAATTAATTATGATTATTAATAATAAAAAGAAGACAATCTTATTTCGAAAACCAATAAACAATAAATTGAAAATAGAAATATTAGTAAAAAATACTGTTGTTTTATTGCACTATCATGTGTATGTAACATAATCATTAAATATTCAATACATATACATTATATACAAGGGTACATCGTCAGTCCATTTCCTGACTAACTTTGACTTTACTTGCACGGTTGGCGTAGTGGCTGGGTAACAGGCAGCCGCGCAACGTGTCGCGAGTTCGATTACCGCATGGAACAATTTGTGTGATCCACAAATTGTGGCTCTGTATGTGAAATATTATGTTTGTAAACGCACCTACCACACAGGAGAAAATCATAGTCAGGGCAAACATTTTATATAATAAAAAAATCAAATCCTGCACTACTGCTCTAAGCCTCTTCAATTACTCGCCACGGATAACGTCAATTCACCTAGCTGGAGGACGCCCTACATACGGTTGCCTAGACGTGGTCTCCACTCCAGACTACAAGCCCAACAGTCATTGGCTCCTTAAGAAATATTTATGTAACCTGCTCGAAGGATATTAGTTCTTGCCATTTATCGAAGAAAGTTCTATCTTCGATAAATAGCAAGATAGAACAACTTCTCACTTTTCAATCCCTGAATATTTACAGTTTTATACCAACTAATTCCCAGTTTGTTATGTTATTATTCCCATATAAATAGGGGTGAACTTATTGCCATAGTTATAACCACCGCAATCGACTACTTGACCTATGGAAAATCACATAGAAAAACATTTTAAGTTTAAGTATAAACAAATATTTAATATAAAAATAAATAAATATAAATTGTAGCATAAAAATAATAAATGTTAAAAATTAATTCTTAGAAACAGTTTTTTTTCTTTGCTAAATTAAAATTTATTTTAAATTAAAATTAAATTAAAATAACGTCACGACAGACGTGACGTCAGAAAATTATCTCTAGAACTGGTGACATATTATAGGGATAATTTTCTTTCTTTGGTTGTGCAGTGCTATCATTGGTGACCAAGTAGAAACATTTTTAAATACAAAATATCATAGAAATAATAGCAAACCTACTAAAAAGTTGCGATTTACGCGAATTAACTAAAAAAAAACTCTACTAGGTTAAAGTCACATGGAGAAGTCACTTGAAGTCATAGGCAGCGCGTGCATCGTGGCGACGTCGCGCAGCCGACATTTATGTCATAATGTCGTGACATCAGGGCCACCTAAACATTGTCACCCTGAGGATACGGTGGCGGTGTGCCCTACTTGGGCTGAGCACCGCCGAGTCCTCGGGGAAGTCACCGGCGGCTGTGACCAGCGATTGGCGCCACACTTGGACAATCGCAAAACATCGAGAAGTTTCTAGTGCGTTTCTGACTTTTTGGGGTTCAAGTATTGCACTAAATTACACAACATTTTTATGGGATGGATCGGTCAACGAAGAAACCGCTCCGTTGTTAGTATGTGCCACACATGAACACCCGCAAAATATCGAAGAGTTACGAGTTCGTATCTCGCCTTTTAGGGTTCAGGAATTTGTGAATTAGTAGGAAGGATTGGGCGAAACACATAATTTTATGGTAGAGATTGGTGAACAAAGTAACCGCTCACCTGGTGGTTTTTTTTATGTAACAGGTCGGCAAACAAGCAGACGGATTACCCGATGGTAAGCAATCGGCGCCGCCCATTGACACAAGGATTAGGGATTTGAAGATTTAGGGATTGGAAGAGGGAAAGAATTTGGCCTCCGGTAACCTCACTCTCAAAACACACAACGCTGTGGTTGTTTCACACCGGTTTTCTGTGAGGCCGTGGTATAATTCCGGCCGAGCTGAACCTTTCGTGCCGAAGCATGGCTTTCCCACACTTCTGAAGCATGCCTCGGAATGGTAAGCGAAACACTGAGACTTCTCAGAAATGTAAAATAGCCACTTCATTAATCATTTGAGGTTTAAATAACCTGGCTTCATTCAGTTTTTCACATGTAATTTGACGTGTAAAAGTGCCATTTTATGGCCTATTTGTAAAAATAAATTCATCGTTTCATTGTTTCAATACCTTCTTACAAAATTGTGTCTGTCCATCATCAGACAACTTATTCTGTGAGAAGAAGGGGGAAATTCTGCCTCCACTTACTGCACACACGTGGCCAACACAACATAAGCGTTATATCACGTCAGTATTCTGTGTTTAAGATTTGTGTACATAATGCACCTTGAGCCAGAAGGACGTACATACCTACGTGTTTTTGATCACAAAATTGGGATGCAGTGGGTTCTTTGTGTTCCTCTCCGAAAACTTTCCAAGGTTTACCTAATAATATGACTAATGTTCATTCGTGAGAAGGTATATCCAGCAGAGAAAGATAACGAGGTTCAAAAATGAGTTTGAGGTCACTGATCCACTAATCTATACTAATATTATAAAGAGGTAAAATTTGTTAGTTTGTATGTAGTGGGTAATCTTTGGAACCGCTGATCGGATTTCCAAAATTATTTCACTGATAGATAGCTACAATATTCCTGTGTGCTGTAGGCTATAAAACATCACGCTCCGATTAAATGGAGCCGAGCAGCGGGTGAAACCGCGCAAGAGTAGCTAGTACTCAATATGTCAATCTAAGGTTCAATTCCAGATGGTTGCGGGGTAAGCGCAATGAGGCACCGCGATCTCGGCCCAGAGCAGGAGATGGAACGGGGGGTTTTTAGTCAGTAAGTGTCTGACACTCCCTCCCGCCCAGCCCGGGGCGGGAGAAGTCATTGGATGATTTTCCCCTGACAAAAAAAAAAGGTTCAATTCCAGATGGTAATTATTGATGACTATTAATTCGTAATGATTATTGTCCTGGGTCTAATTGGTATAATATATCTTTCACCTGTAAATTTTTGGGGTGGAAAGCACACCTGGTTATT